ATATGACGAATTCGCTGCTTGTTCTACGTATTCTGAAAATATGACAATAAATGCCACCGCGGATTCTGGCATTGCAAAGCATCTAGAAGAACGCATTCCGGGCTACATAAACAGCCAGAAAGCGATCCAAAATTTACTCGTAGATCTATCAGTGTGAGTGCTAGATGCTTGGTCTATTATTCAAATTTGTTGTCTGTTTTTTACTGTTCTTAGAGCGCAATTTATTCGTGGACTTCGGGATCAGTGGATTACCCAACAAATCTTACAGTCTGAATTTACAGGATTTGAAGGTGTCGTTACGAAGGCAATTGCTCTAGAAGTTGCTAGATCAGATAGGCGAAACCTCTTGAAAACCACAACAAACCATAACTTTATACCTACGCAGCATGAGACGTCATATGAAACCAACCAGGTACAACACGGCCAGAAGAACATACGCAATAGGAATAAAGGGAAATCGGTGTCAAATTGTAATGACGTACCAAGGAATAATTCAAAAGATTACAATGGGGACCAAAATAGGAACCGAAGACATATAACACGAAGCACAAGCCATATGGAAGAGTTGACTACAAAGACCTTGGTCTCGAATGAGGGCAAAATCGGGAGTGCAAGATCGTCTCCAAGAAATGTATAATCTTGAATACGAACAATTTAATCAACTTGAAATCCAGGACGTTTATACACAATCCAATGCAGATGACGCGCGGAAGTATTATACGTATGTATTAGTAGAAGATAAACAAATTCAGTTTGAGGTTGATTCAGGCGCAGATTTTACTCATACCAAAAGAAGTTTTCGACAAAAAAGTACAAAAATCAAATAGAACCCTCAAATTTAGTGTTTCGTACATACGCAAAACAGATTTTCCAACCGTATTGAAAAGTCCAAGTTTGTGTCCGGTACAGGCGCAATCATAATCCAACATTTGAAACGGCATTCATTGCACCATCGGGTTTCGATGCTCTTCTTGGTATACAACATGGATTCGACACCTACGAGTTGAGCTGACTGAAATCGATAACAAAGAACAAGACATCGAGTATTTAGGATATGTGGTCAAACAAAATACGATTGCAAAATCGCCCTCTAAGATTAAAGCGATAATTCAGATGCCCCAACCAAGAGATGTTGCTGAATTACGTTGATTCCTTGGAATGATAACATATTATCTTTCAGATTTATCAACGATTAACAGCACTTTTACGCAAATTACTTAAACAGTATTTGAAGCAGTGTGGTCGAAGAAATGTGATTCTGCATTTTCTAGAAAGGAAATTAGTCCAGACTATATAATATTTTTTGACACAAAAATTAGTTACCGGTTCAAACTGGGTTTTTTATGCAGGTGAAATGATTGCAAATTGAGGAAAAATAATCAAAACAGTTGAAATTTTCCGCGGGCGAAATCCCAGCGGTTGAAAGGGATGGAAAGTGGAATTTTGCAATTTGTGGCAAAACTATTCATTTTATGAGAGGTAGAGGTTTGAAATTTTAAGAAACATAGCTTGTTTTCTGATAAAAAAGGAGACAATTATTTAGTCCTGTAAAGTTGAGCTGTTTCCGGGATGTTCTTCATTTTCGAAAAAAAACACCTCTTCTTCAAGGGGAGGAAAAATCTATTTTTTTTTCATCGTACAGAGCTGCGCGGGTTAGCTGTATTTTTGCCGAGGGCGACAGAGCCCGAGGGCCTCTGGCCCGAGGGATTGTAAGTCGCCCGAGGGTTAAATATTGAGTAATGCCTGAGGTGCATACAACATTTTATTTTTCATCGTTCCAAAGAATGCATTTCCAATATACAAATGTAATGATTATTGTTTGCCCAACATTAAAGTGCTTCATACGAATCAAGTTGCATCTTTTTTATTACATAATATAACTCCATCAATCAATTTGACAGGCCGTTTGAGGGCATAATGAGATGACAATCCATTATGCCCTCTCATTATGCCCTTGGTCGTAATAGACTGCTTCATATATCACATATGACAGATATAATTGACAAACAGGGTGATTCCTATAGTACCTGCCACCGTTTGGGAGCGTATAGGGGGTGCCTAGGGGAAGTCTTTTCATATAGGACACTTGGGGTCGGAAATCCAAAATAAGGGCGCCAGAACCAAATTTATCTTCTGGAATTTCACGCCTGTATGTAGGCAACCCAACCGACCGCCGTTTCGCGCGGAGCGATGCAGAGCGAGTTAGCGCGAGGAAGCGACATGGGAGGGAAGGAGGGAAAACGACAGTCAAAAGCAATAATGTTTACAAGTGTTCAACGTGGCCACCGTTGTTCTCAATGCACTTCCTACATCTAGCCAACCACTCCCCTCGAACTCGCGTGAAGACTCCTATGTCCTGGCGAACAGCCTCTCCGGCCATGACGACGCGCGCTATTAAGTCCTCTTCGGATTCGACGGGAGTCTCGTAGACGTGCGCTTCCATCACACCCCACAAGTAAAAATCTAATGGGGTGATGTCGGGCGAGCGGGCACGTCACTCCACCGCACCTCCACGGCCGATCCATCTGTCCGGATAGGTTTGGTCCAAGTGTTCCCTCACCTGCCGCCCGTAGTGAGCAGGGCACCCATGGTGCTGGAACCAGTGGTCCCAGTACAAGTTCACTGGAACATCCATTAAAAGTTCTGGTAGCACCTCGCGCAGGAAAATCAGGTAATTATGGGCATTTAGACGCGGAGGGAGAATGTAAGGCCCCAGTAGGTTGTCCCCCAGATGCCAGCCCAAACGTTTAAAGAAAACTTGTCCTGGGATCCTCGCGTAAACGTTTCATGAGGATTGTGCTCCGCCCAGTAGTGGCTGTTACGAGGATTGAAGGTCCCCTCTCTTGAGAATCCTTTCTCGTCAGTAACTAGCACGCTCCTCAGAAAGTTCGGATTAGCTTCTTCCTCCTGGACGACTAAGTTGTAGAATTCCAGCCTCCTTTCATGGTCACCCGGCCGTAACTCTTGCACTTTCTTAAACTTATAGGGGTGTAAGTTGTTGTTGTTGGCGATGTTCCACACTGTGTGTTGACTACAACCCACCTGATCTGCTACAAGCCGAGTGCTAGTACGCGGGTTTGCCTCGAAACGTTCCAACACATCCTCCTCTAAGGCATTTACCAACGGGCGATCGCGATCACGGGCGCTAGTGGGCTGCGAAATAGGAGGATGTCGGTGTAAACAAACAAACTTTTCGAAATGGGTGCTTAAATGACCCAAGTATCGATGTGCATCACGAATCTGTGTGTAAAGTTAAGCCTCCGTCAGCTTACCTGCATTTGCCCTGTCTCGCACAGTCGGAAGTGAACTTCTTGAAAGACCTGTCTGCAGGGTAACTGACGGTTTGGATACCGCTCAGCGTACGCTCGTCGTGCAGCTCGTGCGTTACCATTTGCCAATCCGTATATGAAGTGCATGTCCGCGTATTCCGTGTTAGTAAAACGTTGCCATAGTGTTTATTCACTTGATACGCGTCGTTGCAGACGGGATTTCGTGGGTTTAAACAAAATTCTGATCAAGTGTCAGCCACACATCGCCGCCTGAGATCGCTCTGTGTGCACCGCCGGCCGGTTGGGTTGCCTACCTACAGGCGCGAAATTCCAGAAGGTAAATTTGGTTCTGGCACCCTTATTTTAGATTTCCGACCCCAAGTGTCCTATATCAAAATACTCCCCTACGCACCACCTACACGCTCCCAAACGGTGGCAGGTACTATATGAATCACCCTGTATCTGTACTTATCGCTATGATATTATTTACACTTGATGCGTCTCAAACTTCTCGAAATTTAAAATTAATGCGATCACAAAAACGAGATTAGTTTGTGGTCGCTACCTGCGAGCGAATACGACCACGCTCTCCGCGAATTGGTTTGTTTTTGTTCTTCGTTAAATAACACGAATATTAATTAAGCACTAATCTCTATATCCCGCTCAACGTTATCCGTTTTGGTTTCATGTCATTTTTAGTAAATTTTCCGATCAGCGTAACGGTTACTCTCAAGTTAAGGACTTGATATTTTCATTCCGTTAAGTATAAAAAGGCTTGTTTTCCTTGTTTGATTCCCCGTCGCTAGTGAGTATCGTTGAATTTCGTCCTGATTTAGGAAATCGCTACCGTTTC